ATATATAAGCTATTTTATAGAAGCTTTTTAGTTTTTTTACAGAATATATTATTTGTTTAATATGAAAATACTTTCTCAGATTACAATGACATGTAGTTTCCAATGACTCAAAGATTTAATATTTCAAGCTTAATTAAATTAATTTTTAATCAAAACACAAAAAAAAATTATTAGGATAGTAATCAAGAACAAAACAATCTATTTAAATTATGTTCCTAAATTAACAAAATATATAATGTAGCATATATTCAATAGACATACACTATTATGCAATTCTGTTTATGCATACTATTTTGATTTATTTTGAATCAACATTTAAAATTTTTTTATGATAACCTGTTATATATTAACTTAATTTGTTATTCTTTATTATATTAGCCATGGATACAATAAGCATAAGATTTAGATCCAATTATCCATAATCATAATATTATCAATTAAGTAAATTGTTTTAYCATAATTTTCAATTTTGTATTACATTAGTTTTTTGTTAACTATTGAGTATTAAAATTGTTGTGATATAATTTGTGGGATAAAAAGGTATACATCTAAATAATACATACCACTATTTGGTGAGCATTGTGATTGGTTTCAGTTTATTGTTTAAAGATTATTTGCATCCCATACCATAATATAAATTTAGTTGACTCAACAAATACTATTATTTACATACATACTCCAAATTTAAATTGTGGATCTCTACCTGCTATGTGTATAATCAGTAAGTGTCCATCAATATTTTGCTATTGTTGGACATTATTAATTATTATGTTAACGGGTAAATTATGTTAAATTTAAAACAGGAATGACTAAGACTTATTCTACTTGCTCTATTCAACTTGTCTATTACCCCTATCATCTAGTAACTAAAGTGCCAAATAACTATTTATCAACATTTTCATTATTTGTAATTTTTTTTAAACGTTTGAATAACTCAAACATTATATACTTCTAAATTAAGAAAGTTTTTTAAAATACTAACATACAATTTATCCATTAATTCAATCTTAATGTATAACTATCGATTATAAATACTAGTGTTTATAATCAATCAATTATATAACTCATAGATATAAAAATAAAATGATTACACTCGTTTCTCATTAGTATATTTACCTATATTTTTKKT